TATATATATATACATACATATCTTTGATTTAACCAGGTAGGTCTCCCTTCAATTTAGATTTTTATGGGAGACTTTAGTGTCCCTTAAAAAAAGAGATTTTAAGGTCTAAACTTTTTTACCTACACATATTTATACATTTCACTCAATTAATATGTGATTTATTTATTTTATATTATAAGTTTTATATCGTGATATATATTTGAAGAACCACCCATCATAATGTATATCATGATATATATATAGTATATCGTTGATTTAACCAGGTAGGGCTCCCTTAAATTAAAATTTTTATGGGAGACTTTAGTGTCCCTTAAAAAAGGAGATTTTAAGGTCTAAATTTTTTTACCTATACATATTTATACATTTCACTCAATTAATATGTGATTTATTTATTTTCTATTATAAGTTTTATATCATGATATATATTGTTACCGCCACCCATCATAATGTATATCATGATATGAATTTTTTGCCATATCGCACATTCCTAGCCTACAGTATTTTTAGTCTTGGATCATGGATCACTTAAAGTATCTTACCATCAAAGTTGTTGATTGCGCTGTTCAGAATCATCATTGTTGGTGTTTGCTCTTCTGGGTAAACCATCTTCTTCTGCACACACACACAAACACACTTTAGTTCTTGCATCAAACACATCATCTAAACATGTTTTAATCACAAGAACATTTATCACAGGTGTCTAATCCCAGTATTTCTTTTCTGGCTTTTTGTTTCTTTCATTTCACGTTAGTTCTCATTATATTTAATAAGTTTTGTAAAGTACATGATGTTCCAAAAAATAGTTTTACTGTTGTATATAAGAACATGTAAATGAGATCTTTCATGTAGCTTTAATCAGTTGGAAGTCAGTCCATTGATGGGGTTTTAGTGACAGACCAGGCTGAAATATTATTGCAGTATTTGTTACACACAAGTGGCGCAGTGGGTCAGTTGGCAGAACTGTTGTCTCTCAGCAATAAGGTTGCCAGGTTGAATTATTGCCCAGGACCTTTCTGGGTAGAGTCTGCATGGTCTCTCTGTGCATGTGTGGGTTTTCTTCAGGCACAGGTTCACTCCCACGGACTGGTAACTCAAAATTGTCCTTAAGGGCTCGACACACGGGAGGCGACGTCGCTCGCTCTCCATTCATTTCCTATGGAGCCTGTGCGATGAGGTGACAATCGCTTTCCCTCCTCCAGCCAAGCGACCGGCGAAAATAGTGCATGTGAAATTTCGCGCTCGTACACGTAGACGTGTACACGCGAGCTTGCGACGTGATTTTTGAAAGTTGAAAAACGTTCAACTTTAGTCGCTGTCACTTAGCGTACAACCAGTTAGCGAGGGTTTCATTGACTGACCAATGAGAGGAGAGTATGCTACACACTGCAGTTAGCTAACTCTTTCACCAAGTGATTACTAAAAAAGACAGCTTTGTGGGAATTTGCTGGTGCCAGGGTGAAGGTATCCGGTAAGTTTGTCCTCATAAAATTGTATCTTAGTGTGCGTTTGTTTTTCAGTATCATTAGCATCGCAAGATTTGTTTAGTTTACACGTCCGTAATGCACACACCCTCTTTTTTGTGAACCACCAATAACCTTTACAAGAGGTAGTATAAGAACCAATCAAATTTCGTGAAGACAAGCGACCTGAGAGCGCGATTCGCAACACCGCCTTCGTTATCGCGTCCCGTGTGTCGGATTTCACCCTGGCTGCGATGACAGCTGTTAATCGCTGTAGTTTGTCGCTCCCCCTGTGTCGAGCTCTTTAGGTGTGAGTGAGAGAGTGAATGGTTGGTTATAGGTGCTTTTCCACATGCTCTGTACTCTTCCGCTCCACCCCACACCAGTTTAAGGTCTTGCCACTGTTGGCTCCCACCCCCCTTTGGCCCAGTTTGTGGAACCTCTTCTGAGGTGGTACTGACGGGAGAACATTGTTTGGGGCATGGGGTGCCGATCTACCTGTAAGCATGTAGCAGTCGCTGACTGGCCAGCAGTGGAGCTACGTGAACTGTCCTGTACGATGTAATTTATTGGCAGATACACGAGCCTTCAGAGATTTCAAATGATGGTGGAGAGTTAAAGATCAAGCTAAAACATCTAGAGTCGGGAGCAGTGAAGGACTCAAACCAGCAGGACAGGAGCTGGTTTGGGTAAATGGAGGCAATCTACAGCCCCCGTTCTGTAGTATACTAACTGTAGACTGTTGACAAACTTCAGAGACATCCTGAGACAGTGAATGCTTTATGGATTTTGGGAGATGTTGAACAGATTTTCTGGGACATATCTCGCTTGTGAAATTGTAACTTTTCTTCATAAGGTTCACCGATGTGTCCTTTGTGCATATTTGTTTCAATTGCTAACTAGTTAACAGCTAGCTTGCTGTGGCTAGGTAGTTAGTTAGCAATCCAGGTTAAACACAGACCCACTGCTCTTCATTTATTGTATTAAGTAATTATTGTTTATTATATGTGAGGCTAATCGTTCAACAAGTGACCAGCTGAGCCCTGGGCCACTTCTCCACTTTCTCTAACATCGGTACCAGCTGCCTCACAATCTGGGGCGAGAAGACTGAATTTTAGATCAGTGTTATATTCTACAGATTGTGATCATTTGCAGCCATTTACTTTAAATGGAGAGATTCAGCAAGTCTATCAATGTGTCTCACTCTGTAATATAAACAAAACTTGTTTTGCCTGACGTAAAAGATATCGCCCCCAGGGGGTGGCATTATTGTTTAGATATACGGAAGAATTTAGAAGACAAGGGATCTCTTTTTAGTGCAGCCTGCAACAGGCTGTTGTTTTTGTTTTGCTGATAAGACACAAGGCCTTCCGCAGACTGGCACTGAGAAAGATGGGCTCTGAACAGAAATGTAGTCACAGCTGAAGAATAAAGATTTTTAAAGAGAATCTTTGTAACTTGGTTTTCTGCAAAATTATTCTGGCATCCAATTCTGATCATGTTTTCTTACATATCAGACTTTATGGTTAGCGGTAGCACTGACTGAGCAGCTTCGGTGCTTCCATGTTAATTGTACCACCCACTTTTGAAAAACTTTACTGCCTACTTTGCACTGATGATACTGGGGACACAAGTTACAGCGGCAAATCACCTACACCTGAGAAGAACCGACAGGAAGAGAACCGAGTGGAGCCGGACTTAGCAATGGCAAAGAGCCTAACATGTCCCTGTGATGGACTTGCAACCTGTCCAGGGTGTACCCCGTCCCTTGCACTCTGACTGCTGGAAATAGGCACCAGCAACCGTAAAAGGAACAAGCGAGTTAAGATGATGGATGCATGGATGTTACATTCAAGGAAGGAAATAATTCTTTAATTTCTAGCTGATTTGTTACTTTGCTTTTAAAGAAACTAACAGTGTTTAATTTTTATAGTAGTTTCATTTTAATTGAGAGACAAAGCTCACTAAATTTTCTGTAAAAATACATAAAATAAAAGCTACAAACTGATTGCATGTCACTGAAGTAAATGAGTATTTAATCACTACAAACCAGACAGAATTTTGACTCTCACTGATTGGTGATGAGCCCATATGGCTCATATGTTACAATCAACCACATTTTGTTGTAGTCTTTTTGTACTACTTCATTGGTGTTTTATGATTCATGTGTTTTGTTGACTCACATATGTTCTCATCCATTCATTCAGTTTTTCTGTGTTCCTCAACGGAACTAGTCATACTCCATCAGCTTAAATCATCCTGTTTTTCCTCAGCCAGACCGGCCATGCCCACTTATAGAACTTTGTTCTATGGTCCTTAAATCATTCCTATTATCTTCAGCCCATTTAATCTAACTTTTTTCTAATTTCCACAGATCATGTAAACATTCTAGTTCCTCATGTCTATAATATTGGAGAAACCAAGACTTCCTGAACCACTGAATTAATATGAAGCAACTGTGTTCAAATGATTCAGTGTTTTTGAAGCTTTTGATGTAAGTATGGCACAATCTACTGGCCAGCCTTATTGTAAAAATAAAATTTGTTTATTGTGTTTGTCTGTCTTCCCTAATGCAGAAATCTATGTTTACTATTTTTTTAAACACTTGGAAACTTTTTCCATGTACCCCCTGTACCACTAGGGGAACACTGTTCTATTCTAACGTCATAATGAGGAAGACCAAGCAGCTGTCCAAGGACATCATGGACCTTGTTCCAATTACTTTTGCCTGGAATTGAAATATATATTGACCCGGCCATGCTGCTCTCCTTCCGGTTGAGGTCAAAGAAGTGATTTGAGAGGAAACCGAGAACCTATGGGGGGGGCAAACTGCAAAAGCTATTTTGCCCATTCAAGTTGTCGTTGGTGAATTTACTAAAAAGATGGATGAATGTGAAGAAGGCCTGAACAATCTCTAAGTGACTGGAAGGTTTGAAGACCTGTTATGTAGATTTGAAAAACAAAAAGTTACTGGCAAAAACAGAAGACTTGGAAAACGGGCCCAAGATGTAACCTGCATATACAGTATTAGGAATACCTGAAGGAATGGAGAAGAGGAACCCCACCAAATTTAGCGCTGACCTGCTACTGGACGTGCTTGGTGGCCCTAGAGGTCTGGAGCGGGCTTGGGTCCTGGGTCCCCAAGGGGACAATGACCTCAAGCATTCATCATGCGCATCTATTACTAACAGGAGAAGAAACGAATACAGCAACTGGCCGTTGTTATGGATAAAGTTATAGGATCTAATTAATCCTCTTTTCTCCCTTAAAACATGTAATAATGACATAATGACATTTTAGTTGATTCTAAATGCCTTTTTTAAATGGGTGATTTATAGTTCAGACATTAATGTTTCTATGTGTGGGACTGGTTATATATATGGGGAATGGTTATTCTTGAAAATAGGGAGGCTTTGAAAGACAACAAAACTTGAAAAAAACCAGAGTGGGGTCAACAATATTGACACCCATTGTTTAACATGTCACTATTGAAACTACGGGTAGATCAGTATCAGAAATAAAAACATTCATATCTTACCACTGGGGTTCTCCTCACCATCTTCAAGGAGGTTAGCTGTTGAGTTGGCTGTGCCCAATTTGAGAACAAATCCAGTCAAAGAAAAACAAAACTCAAGACAGAAGAATAAAAACATAGAGAGGACAAATATATCACAGACAGTTAGGTCTATATATGTACAGAGACAACATTTTCCTAATTTCAGTTCTCTACATTTCAATAAATTTTGAACAAAACATCTTACGTTAAGTTGAAGTTCAGACTTTCAGCTTTAATTTAGTGGGCTGAACAAAATAATTGCATAAAAATGTGAGGAACTAAAGCATCTTTTAAACACAATCCCTTCATTTCAGAGACTCAAAAGTAATTGGACAGGTTAAATAATTGTAAATAAAATGTTCATTTCTAGTACTTGGTTGAAAGGGTTTTGTTGGCAATGACTGCCTGAAGTATTGAACTCATGGACATCACCAGACGCTGTTTCCTCCTTTTTAACGCTCTGCCAGGCCTTCACTGTGGTGGTTTTCAGTTGTTGTTTGTTTGTGGGCCTTTCTGTCTGAAGTTTAGTCTTTAACAAGTGAAATGTTGCTCAGTTGGGTTGAGATCAGGTGACTGACTTGGCCATTCAAGAATATTCCACTTCTTTGCTTTAATGAACTCCTGGGTTGCTTTGGTTTTATGTTTTGGGTCATTGTCCATCTGTAGTATGAAATGACGACCATTCAGTTTGGCTGCATTTGGCTGGATCTGAGCACACAGTTTGTCTCTGAATACCTCAGAATTCATTGGGCTGCTTCTGTCCTGTCACATCATCAATAAACACAGGGACCCAGTGCCACTCGCAGCCATGCATGCCCAAGCCATCACACTGCTCTGCTGTGTTTTACAGATGATGTGGTGCTTTGGATCATGAGCTGTACCACGACTTCACCAGACTTTTCTCTTTCCATCATTCTGGTAGAGGTTGATCTTGGTTTTATCTGTCCAAAGAATGTTCTTCCAGAACTGTGCTGGATTTTTCAATTCACTTCACTTCACCTCAGTTTGTTTATATAGCACCAAGTCACAACTGGGGATGGGTACCGAATTCGATACTTTTTTAAGTACCGACCAAATTCTGTCGGTACTACCGAGAACCTATTCACGTAACATCAAACGGTACCATGTTTCGGTACCTAAACGCATCGTTGCGACCGTATTGGCGTAAGAGTGGGAGATTTTCCATGCTTGTCCTGAACGCAGCATCGCGCAAGAGCATAATGACGTCAGCAGCAGCTGGTTCAGACAGTAAACAGAGGCAGAGCTCGGTCTGAACGTAGCTTGAAAGCCTCGCAGCTCCTGGAGTAAAATTTACCGAACAGACCGCCTCTGAATTATCTGGTGGATTAATTATCTTGTGAACGTGACTTTGCTTGCTCAAAGTAAATAAAATACCACCGCTTTCTTTATTTCATCCACCATTAAACAGAGACCTGCAGAGGAAAACAACAGAGGAGCTTCCCGACAGTCCGAACTCGTCTGACCTAAAGAGCACAAACAGCCAAGTTGAAGTGTTGGACACGTTTTGGATGCTCAAAACGTAGCTTGAATAACTTTTATTAATTTTAACTCAATCCTCTTTTGTTTATTTGATTTAAACTTATTTGCCTTCCATGGACCTCCATCACATATTTTTCTATCGGGGAAATGACATCAATAGAAACACGTGGAGCTGGATTTTAATTTTTGTAATAAGACAAAACAGTCTTGTTGTTCTCAGCAGTTTTCACCTTAAAGAAATAAGTTACACAACTGATGTTACAATACAAAGAGTTGGATGTTGTCTTGATATTTGTTAAAATTTATGCTGTATATTGAGAAATATGTAAAATAAAAAAATAAAAAAAGTTTATCATTAAAAAAACAACACACACAAAGTACCGAAAATTGGTACTATTAAGTACCGGTACCGATTCCCAGGTAAAGGATATTGGTACCAAATCGATTCAAATGTCAAAGGTACCCATCCCTAGTTGCAACATACATCGTCTCAGGTACTGTACACAAAAAACACAATCTAAAGAAGCCAGCAGATTGTGTTGAATCACTTCATCACAGTCTCCCATCCTGAGCAGCACATTGGTGACAGCGGAGAGGAAAAACTCCATTTTAACAGGAAGAAACCTCCAGCAGAACCAGAATCAGGCTCAGGACAGGCGGCCATCTGCCTCGACCGGGTTTGAGGGACAGGAAAGAGACACAAACACAGAAGGGCTTTTTTTTTTAGTTTAGTTTCTTTTTAAACAAAATCTAACCTAGCTTTTTTATTCTTCAGGCCTGTGTTTTCCTCACACCTTAAATCAACTCCACATCTTTTATCTGCTTCATTGAGAGTGACATAATGAAGGAATTGCCCCAGACCTGCCCATAATACTGGTGGTGCAGTGTGGCAGCACCGCCTGTCAGTAGTTAGTTGTGAATGAACGACGCATGAAACTGTAAAGTGTCTTTGAGGGTTTTAAATAGCACTTTATAAGACTAAAGTAGTAATAATAGTAGTAGTAGTAATAATAATAATAATAATAATAATAATAATAATAATAATAATAATAATAATAATAATAATAATAATAATAAACTACGTTTATGGGACTCTTTTTAACACCAAAGTGTGCATCATTTGATCCATTTGCTCCTCTGAGAAAGAAAGTGATTACCGGTAGTCAGGTTAAGCTGGCTGGTTGGAGTTGCGTACTTTAAAACAGGCATCTAGAAAGCAAAAAAGGATGCTCTATTAGCTTGGTAAAATTCTGTTTAACTTAAATATAGACGAGACTATTTATTATCTATCTTTATAAGAGGAGAACGAGGACATCAGGATTTTTTTTAGTACTGTAGCTAGCCTGAAGTTCCCATCTTTGTTACATCATGTAAGTGTTGACCTACTTACTAAAACAGCAAAACAAACAAGTTTATGTAAGGATATGAATGCAACTTCATCAGTGTCCTTTTTGACTTTCTTCTTTTTGTCCTCTCAGAAAACGATCTGGCAATTTCAAACAGTTTTTTTCTTGTTGCTGTAGAAGACGAGAGACATTAAATCAAATCTACATAAGAAAATGAGTTTAAAAGTCAAGGCTAATTTTCTCAAATGTGTACAAATTTAAACCAGACTTACACTTTCCCATATGTCTGAGTTTGTCTCTGAACAGAGCATCATCTGAGGCAGCCTCCACTGAAGCTGCAGAGTACACGTCTCCTGCACACAAATACAGCAAAACTTTCACAATGACACACACATATCAACTATAGTTTTATCTAATATGCACAGGCTTTAAGGCAAGTTAAATTTAAGACTTTTTAATGCCAAGTGAAATCAAATTTAAGACCAATTTCACAAACACAAATGACAAAATTACAAAAACAGCAGAAACTCATGAATCAAAGTATTTTGGGTTGAATTATTCAAATACTGCTAATAGACCAAATGTTTTTATCCATATCTAACTGCTTTTTTGTCAAATATAGCAAAAACATCATTTCAATCAGTTTTAAACCTAATTTAATTCCCGGAAATCCTCTAACAACCCAAAATTTGTTGTTTTAGGACCCAGAGTGGGTTCTCAACCCCAGTTTACTGTAGATGAGACCTTACAGTGCCCGTGACATCAAATGTTTGTAAGAAATATGAATGCATTTTTGGAAAGACAACATTAACATATTAGAAAATGAACGTCACATCGCTCAGATGAACAGTTGTTGAGATATTTGCATGTGAAGTAACAGGAAGTGATGTCAAAGGGGAATGTCTGAATGTGAGTATTTCAGTCGTCACTTATTAAAGTCATCCTGCTGGCAATGTGTTAACATTTTTAAGACTTCTGAAGGTTGCTTTAAGACATTTTAAGGCTAATTAAGGCCTTATTTTTGGACTGATGAATTCAAGGCTTTTTAAGACTTTTTAAGGGTCTGCAGGAACCCTGGTGCAAAGTCAGTGACACCATTAATACAGCCAAAAGATATTACAGGGAATGTTAGGTACACAGAGACCTGCCCTCAGTAAAAACTAATGTCTTGTTTGTGCCACACTGTTCTCTCAGTGAGGCAGAGGTGTGATGAAGGACACCTACCTGTGGATGGATCAATGCCGGATAAACGACTGGACTTTGATTTTTTTGATTCATACTTCAATCGATCTAAAAAAAAAACAAGAAAAAAAAACAAATATTAATAAACAATTGTGTTGAACCAAGATGTAACAAGCTTTTGAACATAATTTTAAGAAATCCTGATTAGTTTATGCAGAAAGAAATAAAACACGCATATCTCCACCACAACGAGGCCTGTGACAGCTAGGGTTGGGTGGTATTGATCAACATCATACTGCGGTACAACCTTTCAAAAATACACAGTATTACCCGAGAGGAGGGGGTTCTGTGGTGTGTTGAGTTATTAATAAATGAATAGAGCCAAAGAGAGGTGTTGGAAATAACTCAGCTGCTCTGATGTTGCTCAGAGAAGCAGGAGTCACAGAATGAGTTTGCCCTTATTTTGTTGAACAAACGAAGTCCAACTATGTCTTTTAGGATTTTAAGTTTCAAATAATGTGACTTTTACTACAGACATATCCATACTGCTGCATGGTTTTAGCGAGGGATGTGTTTGTGTTGATAAAATTTGTAGTAATTTCCTCGTCTGCAGAGAGGAGCTCGCAGGTGTTGAAAAAAAATAAAATAAAAATCACAGAAAATTTAACTCCGAAAGGAGTCCAGCTATGTGTTTGATTTATGAAACCAGTGGCTGGTTCCTCTCAATCACTGAAAAATAATTTATTTACCACATTTTAAATCTGGGCCCTAAAGTGTTAATGCCCCTGAAAGTGTCTCTCTGACCTGTGTGTGAGTGACAGAGAGGAGCACATCTCTGTGTTTGAGTCCAGCAGGACTTGTAGGTTAACAGCAGCTCATTCTGTCTGGATTTATGGTGTTTTGAGTTCACAAACTACTCTGGTAACTTTTTTAGAAGTTGAGGGACATTACATTAGTTCATAGCTGCGCTGCTTATCAGCGCTGTTTATTAGAACATGAACGGACTCACGGGCAGCCCTAATATTGCTGTAATATATGAGTAATTATTCATAAGGTAACCTTGCTGTGGCTTCATCTGTTGCATCTTCTTTTAAAGAAAACACTTGGTCAAGATGTGTAGTACGCACCACATGGTTCCTACAGCTAAAGGAAAGTTAAATCTAAGGCTTTTTAAGACTTTTTAATGCCACTTGAAATTAAATTTAAGACCAACTTCACAACAAACACAAATGTAAAAAAAAATACAGCAACAATTTTACCTAAATGTTTATTTTAGGAAAAACAAATAGCTGCAGTAAATTTGGTAGATAAGTTTTAAAAACTAAATAAATGTTAACAGTTTTTTCATATTTGAGACAAATACAATCATCCTTCTTACAACCTAGCATTTTTAAGACTTGTGAAAGATTGATTTAAGACATTTTAAGGCTAAATAAGGCCTTATTTTTGGATCGATGAATTCAATGCCTTTTAAGACTTTTTTAAGGATCTGCAGGAACCCTGGCATCAGAAAATCCTTAAACTGGAAAAAGCATTATCACCAAAACACCATTGATTCATACCAAAATCAATGACCATCAATAACAAGATACTGGATTATTGGCATAAAAATTAAATCCTGCACTTGTTGGATTGCTATAAAAGAGGACTTCTTATGTCCTTTGAATGGTTAAAGGAGAAATATAATTTATCTGGGAATACTTTCTTTTGTTTTCTTCAGTTGAGATCTTTTCTTGGAGCTAGCTTTGGTCCTGAAATGAGGGAGGAAACTAAAATATGAAGGGAATCCTTGTATATTTATTTTTAAAGACGTACTGTTTTCTATTGAATTAATGGTTTTAAAACCAGTTTACATAGATCTAAGCCAGTGTTTTTTCAACCCTGGTCCTCAAGGCACACTGCTCTGCAAGTTTTAGATGTTTCCCTGCTTCAACACAGCTGATTTAAACTGATAACTGACTGCAGTTCAACAAAAGCCTGTTAATCATCTGAATCAGGTGTGTCAAAGCAGGGAGACCTCTACATCATGCAGGGCAGTGGGCCTTGAGGACCAGCATTGGGAAAACACTGACCTAGGGAGAGGTGGGTGTCAGACTTGAACATTACAATCAATGAACATTTATAGTCAGATTAATGCCAGGACAGTCTATCAGCTACTAATAATGTACACCACAGATTATAACATTATAACTAACTAACCAACTATATCTTACCCCTCAGAAACTGCACAGACTCAAACCTGAGATGTGCTCCAGATGTGACACAGACACAGTAGGCTCTTTTTTACACTGTACATGGTTTTATTTGAAGGTTTGACCTTTGTGACATGTTAACCCAAATCATAGGAATAACTTTTCCATTATACTCGGTTTTGTTGGGAAATAGTAGCATTAAGAAATCTTTGTCAAAATTCCAAACACTGTTTTTGAAGGTAGAACTCTCAGCAGCAAGAAAATGTACAAGTTACATAGAAATCTGATGCCCCCTTCTGGCTGTAGAGGTTATTAATAGAAGGTTGTATCTGTTTTGAAGAAATTATTTATAGTACGATGAAAAAATATGATATCTTCTTGAAAATTTGGCAACCTTACTTAAAATATATTGACAAAATATATTTCCATGCCATGGAAGTGTGATTACATCAAAAAAAAGCATAAATGATCATGTTGAGATCCTTTGCTGTCTTTTTATTTTCTCATAATTTATTTTATTTGTTTTTTATTACATATTTCCCTTTACATAAGGGCTGTTCTGAGTTGTATTATTTTATGCAAAAATGTTCAAATAATTGAAAACAAAATTTCCCAAAAAGTGTTTTAAAGTTTTGTCACATTTGAAGCAGAATTTTTACATGCAGTGAAAACGAAGCCATACCTCTTTCTAATGCAATCAGGAAATCATGGTTACGCTGCAGCTCTCTCATGAACTCCTCATTCTGCAGGAACAGGGCAATGCGCTCATCTTCCAGGTACTGCTTCAGTTTATCATCCTGCTCTGGAGATTCAGACACCAAACTCTGACCTTCAGAGCTTCCTGCAGCTCCACACACAGAACCAGGCTGAGCCATCCTCTGACTTGAGGACGTCGACGATGAGGAGGATGAAGGCTGAGATATGCTGCTCTGTAAAAAATGAGACAAAACAACTGTGTCACCAAGGATCACAGATGTCCAAATACAGTATATTGTAATACAATAGCCATTAGTATAGTGTTTTATAATGAGGGCAGGGGTTGTTAAAGGATTGAAAACACAAAAATAAAAACGTCCTGATGCATCTCAGTAAACCAGGTAAAAAAAAATCTAAAAGAAATAATAAGTAGGTCCTCTGGATGGTTCATCTTCAGTGAAACGTTTCGTCTCTCCTCCAAGAGACTTCTTCAGACTGATGAGTTTCAGGTGAACTCAGCCTTATAAGCCCTGCCTCCACATGGTGGACAAAGAGGTTAGTCACCTGCAAAAGAGGGCCATCGCTAATAGGCTTGATTAGTTCAGTTGTTCATAGAGGGTCATGTGCCCCATCACCTGACCCGTGTCGTGTTATGTGTATGTAGTGAATGCAAGGGTGGCTCGACGTCCCCTTGTTTTTGTCCCTCTTTGTGTTGGTATCATTGGGGCCCTGATTCACACCTTTTGCTCACAGGGGGCGGAGTCATACTTCCAATAACAGCGTTGTAGGAGGAGGACAGCTGGACACGAAGGCCTCCACCTCTGTTTAATGGTGGACGTTTTTTTCTTTACAAAAATGCCTTCCTTTACTTCTCTCTCAAACCAACGTTCCTCTCTATCAAAAGGATGAGAACATCTTCATCCCTGAAAGAGTGACCGCTGGCCTGTAGATGAGTGTAAACTGCAGAGTCCTGGCCTGTAGATGAGTGTAAACTGCAGAGTCCTGGCC